ACATATTCAATACAACAAATATAGAAAATAAGAATTTAATTGGACTATTTGGCTCGGCCCTCAGATGGGCAGCCCGAGTGGGTCTTGCCCGCTATGCCCGGGACTCCGGGAGTCGATTCTAGTCTCGGCCACTGACGGCCAGTGCGGACACTCTCGGTCGACCGGGTCGAGTGTCGCGGTACACCAATTATCATGAATATTAAAGTTAGACTGTTAGAGATTTGTTTAGTGGTCACCATGATAATAATATTGAGAGTCAGGCTTTTGTGAGGACTACCTGCCGCTAAATGGCAAATACGGTAGGGGGACTAGCCCGACTAGGTAGAGGAAGGCATCTTCTTCTTCTTACTTCTTAGCAGCATAGCAGAGAGGAAGGCATCTCCTTCTCCTTTTCAATTTTTTACCCATTTAACTGCGGATACATATCAGAAGCGGAAAATTTAGTTTCACCATTTAAATATGGTGTTAATTTGTTATTTGTATTTTAAAGTTCATAAAACTGTTCATTTAACTAAACAACCCTCCACTAAGCAAAACTTATAGTATAAATAATCTTAGTTTTTACATTATGTACTCGAGTTACTATCTCAATCGTAAACTATCCTGCTGATATAATATTTTTAGACGGATCCTGAACATCATTGTACGAATGCTTCAATTCGAGTTTCACACTGAAGTGGAAGAAACATTTCTACAGTTTGAATAATAAGAGGGCGGCGAATCTGAAAGACTTGAATATCAGGTACGGTAAATGATATCCTTGTTCGATCGATATTCACAAATGTAGGTTGAAAAACGGGGCATTTCATATCGTTTTCTTTTTATTAACTACAATTAAGTAATCGTACTTTATAAAAACAAACATCAACAATGAAAAGTCTTATCTATAAACTAACGTGAATAATAAGTGCAAAGTTCGTACATATATCAGCATACGAATCTGAATGGACATATGCGGTCGAAATGAGGTACTCAAGACTGGCGCCTCGAGCCATGAAACTCAAATAATGAAAAACAAAACAATAATAACCACACAAAACATCGCTTTGACTCGATCTTTTATGCAAATTAGCCAATAAACAACCATTGACCAAACAAAACTTCAATAAACGGAAATTGCTGACAAATCGAGTGTTTTAGAAATGAGGACAGTTGCAATTATAGTCTTGCGAGCTCCCTGCTCTTGTTGAAAGGCTCAGCTAAGACAAATGGTCTATATATGATAGTTTTTACCATGTAAGTATAATCCCTGTAAAATGTGCCTCCATTTAATATTCATTTATTTGCTTGACCAAAAAAATGAATTCTTGCATTAGGATCATGACCGTCTCAATCAAACCGAATCGTCGCCCAACCCAGACGCTTCAGGCCCTCGGCGTATGAGGGTCAGGTAATACAGTAAGTAAAGCGTGCCTTGAGAATAAAAAAATATAATTCCGTACTCACTGCGTTGAGTGACAGAGCGCGATTTTCTCGTCCATCCGTCCGTGAAGTACGGACAGACAGACGGACGGACAGACGGACCTGACGAGCACAATAGCGCCTTTTTTCCAGGAATGAGAAAATGCGCTAAAAACGTTTTCTTGGAAATAAACTCAATTAAAAATTCATCATCACACAACATACCAACATAAAATTGCAAGACATATTTCGCGAGACAAGTTATACCTCGAGAAACGTTCACAGCCAGGCACAAAATCAGCTCCATTCTCGTCAACTCAGTAATCTTTTCTTCATGCGGAATGTTTTCTTATAACAAATAAATTTTAAGGCAATGACAAACAAAATTTGACCGACTAATCTCTCATAGGACACATGGCATTGAGAAATTCAACAGCAACAGAGACCACAGAATGCGGATGAATAACAGCGTTCAATTCGTGTAATTAAACTCGAATTCGGCCTTCTTGGCGAAAATTTCATCAATAATAAGTTATGATTAATGGCACATAGAATAATTTATTAGTGTTATTTTGTATTCGTTTCAGTTACTTCACCCGTACGTCGCAGAAGGCGAGAGCATAGCAGAGAAATCTTTCAAGCTTTTCTGTATCATTTATTCGAACAATTCCTAAAGCTTTATACCAAGAGTGGTCGCCAAATTCTGTACGGCGGCCTTGGCACTCAAGATGGCATCGTTAACACCCACGCCATCATAAGAGTTTCCCGCCAGTGACACCGGTAACTTGTGTTGGTCGATGAGCCGCCGCGCCGAGGCGACCACCTCAGTGTGCCCCACCACATACTGGGGGATGCACGCGCGCAGCACCTGCGTCCGCCACGCGCTGGGGTGATCACTGATGCCTAAAGTGGAGCGTAGTTCATCAATAGCCGTGCTTAATAGCTTCTCTTCGCTTGGATGTGTGCCAAATAAAGAGTTGAACCAGTATCCACCCATCATCACAGTCAGTACAGTTTTGTTTGCCTGAGGGAAGGTACACGTGTCAAAAATGACGCCTAAAACTTTAGAAGGTTCGCAACTAGGCACCAGGTAGCCGAACGCTGGCTGCGTCACTAGGTCGCTTCGGTCGTACGCCAGGTTGACGACCGCCACGGTAGCGAAGGGGATCGCGTTCAGGAGTTGCGCAAGGTCTTTGCTAAGGTTGCCACAAACCGATGCTGCTTGGGAACAAGGCAGACACGATATCACATGATCAGCAGATATCTCATTGCTGCCAAAAGATATTTTCAAGCAGCGGCCATTTTGAGAAAGTTTATTCACAGGATGACCTAGTCTTATATCAACACCTCTGTCAACAACGTCGCGTTCCAAAGCCTTGATTAGAGTTTCAATTCCTTCTTGCAGAGACCAAACTGCCCATTTTTCCTTGCGTGCTTTCTTAACCATGGGGTGAGTGAGCACGGAATCGCGACTCCGTTGTGTGAAAACATCAAAACAAGCGCCTTTGATAACACTGCCATGCCGCTGCTCATAAGCGTGCAGGCTTTTAGCCAAAGATTTGACGCTGAGTTCCCGAGCGTTCCCCGCGAAGACGCCTCTCGCCAGTGGATCTATGACGTAAGTTGCAACCTCCCGACCGAACCGGCGGTTCACGAAGCTGTACAAAGACTCGTCGCAATTACAAACTTTTTCCGAGCGCAAATCTTGTAGCAGGGCAACCAGCAGAGGCTTGGTGAAGGGCGGGGTCTTCTTCAGAGCAGTGCTCAGGCTGCTGGGGAGTCTGTGCAGCGCGCCGTTTACCTGGGCAGGGAGAGATATCAGCATGTTGACAAGGACAGTGATATTCATAGCCACACAGCCACATACACACCGCTTTTTCAAGATATTGTATTAAACGCAATACTTGAATGCACGCATGCCCCACAATAACAAAGATACACTTATGAAGTTTTACAATAAATCACTCACCTTGATCATACGGTTCATGGTGCTATAGGGAATGTCAGGCCATCACTTTCCTTGATCATACGGTTCATGGTGATATAGGGAATGTCAGGCCATCACTCACCTTGATCATACGGTTCATGGTGATATAGGGAATGTCAAGCATCACTCACCTTGATCATACGGTTCATGGTGATATAGGGAATGTCAGGCCATCACTCACCTTGATCATACGGTTCATGGTGATATAGGGAATGTCAGGCCATCACTCACCTTGATCATACGGTTCATGGTGGTAGGATGGCCGTAGGAGACGCTCCGTATTTTCCCCTCCAGTCCCAAGTCATGGGCCAGCACCAGCGTGTTGGCTCCTGCAGTCCCGGCAGCTCTGAACAACTTAGAGACTTCAACTTTTACAATGATGTGGATTGTGCATTAAGGCATGCCTCACATACAGTACATAACACATCTCATATACAGGGTGATTCATGGAAACTTCCTGTTTTGTATTTTGTGCCAAGCAGCCAGATGTTGTTGGAGAAGACTGGGGATTATTTCATATGAAAGGAAAGGTCATGAAGTTTTGTGACCAGTCTAGTCAGTTGGCACTATCATAAATCAATTGATGGGTGAACATATTTATACTTTTTATGGGATTATCTTAAATCAATAGTTAACATAACTGTCCAAGGACCTTGCCTCATTTGAAGAACAATATATGCCAATCCATCAGCAACATACCCATTAATATGCTTCAGTGAGTTCAGAACTACAAAAATTGAATAACTGAATGCATTGACATAGGGGCCATCATTTATCCAATGTCATATCTAAAATGAAGGAATAAATTCAGGTGATGTCTTTTTCAACAAAATTTATATTGTAATATCTTTACTAGTTCTTTTTTATTGAGCTTTAAAATTAAGAAGTTTCTGTGAATCACCCGGTATAAAGCATGCCTCTCATACAGAACAACCCTTATATACCAGGCATGCCTGAGCCTCACACACAAAACAAACTTCATATACATGGCAAGCCTCACATACATAACTCATCTCATATACGATGCATGAATAACACGTCCCATATATGGTACAAGGCATGCCTCACATACATAACACACCTCATATACAAGGAATGCCTCACATACATAACACACCTCATATACAAGGAATGCCTCACATACATAACACACCTCATATACAAGGCATGCCTCACATACATAACACACCTCATATACAATGTATACATAACCCACCTGAGTGTTCTAGGTCCAGCCTCAAGCAGGACACCTGAGTCATGCTGAACAGATTGCATCCAGCCCCCAAGACGAAGTGACCCCTCAATGAGGCAGACACTGGCCACAGCTGAGCTGGGCAGCAGCGTCTTGATATAGTGACTGGCTGCAAGGCCAGTAACACCTCCTCCTAACACAACCACCTTGGCCATCTGTGTCCTGACTGCCTGCTCAGTGCTCAGTGGGAAATTATTCCATGGCTAATGTGTCCCAATGATTACAGTTCAGAGTACCAGGATTGGAGCAGAGTGGGGCAGGCTTGATCCTAGCTTTGTGCACCACTTTCTGGACAGAATTGGCAAGAAGGCCGGGCAGTTAAGCAATGCAAATTGGAGCAGTGAGTTTGGGACCTCAACAAAGCATAAGCTGTGAATGTTCTGAATTTCTGCAATGTTAGGAATCAGCAACAGACCTTCAGGTCTACAGCCTAATAAATGCTGAAACTGTTATTATTATTATTTTGTCCAGGCTCATCCTCCCAGAACTGCTTAATCCTCAAACTGCTTAATCCTCTTTCAACAGAACTGCTCCCTAAAATGGTAGAGCAAATACAGCTTTTCTAAGAAATACTGGGTCTTCCAAAACAGCCAATTGGTACCTAGTATTTAGCAATTAGCAGATATGTTATGATTGTTATCTGTTATCATTCAAATAACATTTACAGAAAAGGCAAAATCAAAATGTCACTAAGTCAATAACCTAAGATTTGAATGGTCAGCTTTACTCATGATTTGTGGAAAATAAGTTTCTGGAAGTTTAGGATTAAAGTTTGAACAAGCTTGAGCTCAATTCAAGATTTTATTCACTAAAAAAATGGTAAATGTTTTCAATTAATAGCAGCCTAGCAGGTAATATCCAAAATGTAAATGAAGCAATACAAAAAAAATTAGTAATCTACATATAAATTGTTAGAGATGTTAGATCATACTTATGCACATAAGTAGGTGATCCTGATGATAAAATCATAGTACCTAGTGAGTAGTGACAAACTGGTTACTAGAGATTTTTTAGAATCAGTTCATTTTAATTTCCTTATTTCTTTTCCTGAAGCCTCATGAATCAAGATTTAAACAAATTTCTTAATTTCTTATATATGATAAAGCTGATAATGATATCCATGGACCATGAACAATTTTGAACAATGAACATGATTACTGGTCTACTTATAACTATCATTCTATCAATAATGAACTTGAGATGTTGAGAGAGACTCAAAAAAAGCTTGGGCAGTGGGAGGATGAGCCTGGACACTGGAGACTGGCACCTCCCTCCCTGCTCCCCCTCTGGCCAACTGGGGAGACTCAGGGAGAGCCGGAGAGGGACAGAGATCATGAGAGATAGCTGGTCAGTGGTCACTGGTCAGTCTCTGTCTCAGTCTCACACTCACAGTGGGTACGTAATACAGTTCACTGGAGTCAGTGGAGTGACTGGACTGAGTCCTAACCTCATTTGAACAATTTGAATTTTGAATCAGTCTAATCAGAGGACAGTGACAGACTGACAGGTAGGAACCTGTTCCTAACTTGACCTAACCTGCAAGGTTTTTGTTGATTGGCTAGGTTTTTTCTATGTTTGGAGACCGGCGGCCGCGAGACCGGCCGTAAATTTGACCGAGACGTCGAAAGAGCCTAAGAGGCTCAAGTCTCAACTGTCTAATCTGATTCTGAGGTTTGGAAATATTAGTCTCATACTCTCAGAGTCAGATAAATCACTTAATAAATGCTCTCCAGTCCGCACATCGTTTACAGTACTAACACAATTACACTCACATGCTTATCTACCGTATAATCTACGTACTATCGTGTAACATACGAATGCTAGCTATTACTTATTGCTAATTTGCTATACATGTCAAAAAGTAATTTGCAATTAAATAAACGATGATGATGATGCAATTAAATAAACTGATGCAATAGAGCGAGTCCAAATAATGTTCAATCTATATCTACCTACACACGTGACAGGCCCGTCTAATTATTTTTTAAAATCTTTTAGCACCAACCATCACTAGCCTAGCACTAAGCAATACATGAGGCAATGCATCAGCGTCTACAATCTCGTTGAATCTCGTTGAATTTTTAGCACCAGCCTTCTTGGGCATCTGGTGCTTTGGTCAGAGCTTGTGGTATTGTTCTTTAGAGCTTGTCGATGATGTCCGTCTTTGACAGAAAGGTAACTAGTTTCTCAGCTGGAAAATCATCTCTTAGTAGGGTTGTCAGTGTGAAAGGCCAGTTCATCTCTTTGCAGTATTGGTCCTGTCTCTTATACACATCTAGATGTGTATAAGAGACAGNACTGTGCTATGTTATGATGTGTTATGTTATGTTGTTATACTGTGCAATGTTATAAAAATGTGGTATGTTGTTATACTGTGCTACATTATGTGTTATGTTCTTATACTGTGCTATGTTATGATGTGTTATGTTGTTATACTGCATAATGTTATAATGTGGTATGTTGTTATACTGTGCTATGTTATGATGTGTTATGTTGTTATAATATGGTGAGTTACTGTGCTATGTTATGATGTGTTATGTTGTTATAATGTGCCATGTTGTTAATAATATAATGTTGTTATAATGTGCCATGTTGTTAATAATATAATGTTGTTATAATGTGCCATGTTGTTAATAATATAATAAAGTTCGTAATAGAACGCACTAGATCGCATTAGAAGGCACTAGATTGTAATAGAACGCACTAGATTGTAATAGAATGCACTAGATCGCATTAGAAGGCACTAGATCGTAATAGAATGCACTAGATCGTAATATAACGCACTAGATCGCATTAGAAGGCCCTAAATGACCATAAAATGCATTAGTAAGCACTAAAATGCTCAAAACCAGATGAGGACGTACGTCGGGACAAGCCAGATCACCCAGATGCGGACGTAGGTGCCAAGACAAGCCAGATGCGGACGTACAGTACGTCGGAACAAGCCAGATGCGGACGTACGCCGGGCGTGTCATACATCATCCTAGACAATAAATTTCGCAATCAAGTTGCCGGACTTACAGTGTATGGTCACTGCGTGTGCGCCAATAACGTTATTTTAGCTCTTTGTACGCCACGTTGTACACCAGTAGAACTTCTGTAGAAGGGCTTGGAGCCTCGTTTACGCCAGATTAATCTGCGGAAAACGGCACCATCCTGGGTATGGGTCCTGTCCTGTGTCTGACACTGACAGTGACAGTCTGTGTGCAACTTTTATGCAAGTAAAATTTTTTAACAGGTCAGATTTTTTTGCGACAAGCTTATCATTATGCCTTATGGAGTGCCAGGAGTGGGAGTACAGACCTAAGACAGTAAGACCTTAGCTCAGTTAGCTGCCAGAAGTACTTTTTCAAAAGCTCACTTTTCACACTTTTTTCAGGGATTTCTTAGAGGTAGGCTAGGTATGTAGTAAATGTATGATTTCATAACTTGCTTTATAGTTTATGCTACTCTTTCTCTCCCACAAGGCTGGTGTCTTCAACCCTGGTAAGATTACCTGTATCATGTATGTTTTGCATTATTTGCTACATACTACATAGTACATAGATAGGAAAAATGTTAAAACTTCACGCCACTATTTTTAGTTTTGTAATATTGCAGTTAGTTTAGCTGCTAGCCTCAGTAGCCTGCTACCGGTCGGCGGTATTCTGGTACAACATTTCTACAAAATATCAGACAGAGGACTGTACAGTCTGTACTCTGTGCTCACTGTCCCTTATTACTCCGCCCATCCAATCCATTATTACCCCCTTTGACCGTTTGACGCCTGACGGTACAACATATTACGCCTATATATTACAACGCCTGACATATTCAATACAACAAATATAGAAGATAAGAATTTAATTGGACTATTTGGCTCGGCCCTCAGATGGGCAGCCCGAGTGGGTCTTGCCCGCTATGCCCGGGACTCCGGGAGTCGATTCTAGTCTCGGCCACTGACGGCCAGTGCGGACACTCTCGGTCGACCGGGTCGAGTGTCGCGGTACACCAATTATCATGAATATTAAAGTTAGACTGTTAGAGATTTGTTTAGTGGTCACCATGATAATAATATTGAGAGTCAGGCTTTTGTGAGGACTACCTGCCGCTAAATGGCAAATACGGTAGGGGGACTAGCCCGACTAGGTAGAGGAAGGCATCTTCTTCTTCTTACTTCTTAGCAGCATAGCAGAGAGGAAGGCATCTCCTTCTCCTTTTCAATTTTTTACCCATTTAACTGCGGATACATATCAGAAGCGGAAAATTTAGTTTCACCATTTAAATATGGTGTTAATTTGTTATTTGTATTTTAAAGTTCATAAAACTGTTCATTTAACTAAACAACCCTCCACTAAGCAAAACTTATAGTATAAATAATCTTAGTTTTTACATTATGTACTCGAGTTACTATCTCAATCGTAAACTATCCTGCTGATATAATATTTTTAGACGGATCCTGAACATCATTGTACGAATGCTTCAATTCGAGTTTCACACTGAAGTGGAAGAAACATTTCTACAGTTTGAATAATAAGAGGGCGGCGAATCTGAAAGACTTGAATATCAGGTACGGTAAATGATATCCTTGTTCGATCGATATTCACAAATGTAGGTTGAAAAACGGGGCATTTCATATCGTTTTCTTTTTATTAACTACAATTAAGTAATCGTACTTTATAAAAACAAACATCAACAATGAAAAGTCTTATCTATAAACTAACGTGAATAATAAGTGCAAAGTTCGTACATATATCAGCATACGA